GTATTTCACAGAGAAGTATGATCGCATAACATTACTGATCAAATACTTACTGGCTCCAATACCTATGATAACAATCTCCCAGGAGCGTGAACTAACCAGGGACACTCCACCTCCAAGAGACCTGAATCAACCTGCTTCATAAACCCTACAGAGAATGAACTTCTGGCAATATACCAGCCAAAAGCCCAAGAGTCCCCTGCCACCTCCAGGCTGGACAGACACCACCACCACCACCCCCATGGGAACCAGGAAGGAAAGGCTCAGTGATCAGGGCCAACCCCACAATGGGAAACAGTAGGTGGAAGGATGCTCAAAAAGTGAAGAAACACATGCCCTGGCAGCAAGGTAGCCCTTTGGAAATACTGGCCAATACTTAACCACTTGCAGCCTCTGAGTCTGAGCTGAACCAATTCTTGAGGTTTAGCCTCTTCATGCTTCAGTTTCTTGATTTGGCAAATGGGAACAATAATTATAACACCTCCTAAGTGTTACAGTCTGTGAAGATTAAATGATTCAGTATGCAAAAAGTGCTTAGGACAGGCCTGGCACATGCAAACTGTACATTGTACTTAATTGCTATTATTTCAGGCTAGAGGCATGCCTACAGAAACACCTGCCGAAGGAAGCTGGCCTTCTTTAATCCCACCAACAGACCTGCTACTAAACAAATGGAAATACCCATGCCTCTAGCCCTTGGTTCCCTATATAAGTTCCAGGATTTCTGGAGTAGTCTCAGCTAAAACCAAGTAGACTCCTTCCCCCAGCAACTAAGTTCAGATTTTTAAAAAATTGTAATATGGCATCATCATATGATTAAAATGGAAACTGAAATGTGATTAAAATGGAAATCTATGTGACATGCACTTCAGAGCCCACACATTTTCAGTATGTAATTTCTGTAGTTTCTAACAAATGCCCCTAACTCCGACACTTGTGAATCTCAAAAAACAGACTTCCAGATGAAGACATCAACTAATCACCCTCCACATTGGGACAAGACGTAAATGCAGTGACTTTTAACAAAATACAGAGTATGCAGCATAAAGAGGTCACTGGCCACTGCCACACCACATGGCAACCTGTGCCCTTAGAAAAATGAAGATTAAGAACAGGGGTCTTCAGCCTGGGATCTTCAGAGAGGACCAGAATTTGCACCTCTGCCAGGTTCCATTTTCTGGAGCTAGCATATGAAACTATAACATCAGCTAAAAGTCAAATTCAGCAATTTAAAAAGATCAGCTCTCTTCACTCACTCATCCATTAAAGATGGATTTCTATTCAATATTAAGCAAAATAACCTGAGACATAACCCAAAATTTTGACTTAAAACTAATTAGTACTGGAGTTGTATATAAAATTTTAAAGAAAAAAAATCCATAAGCACTCAACTTAGAGATATCTAAAGTATTAAAAAATAAGACTCAATCCTATGAACTAACAAAGCAAGACATTTTCTACTACAAATACAGGCTTTTTATTTATGAGTCCAAATCTCAAAATTCCCAGGCACTAGTTCACTATTAAGCCAGAGTGCAAACCAGTCATCCACAACTTGCTTCAGAATCTGATACTCTTTTTTTTTTCTTTTTTAAAAGATTAAATTTGTTGAATTTTTTTTTCAGAGCACAATCTTTTTTTTTTAGTTTTTTTTTATTACAAAAGTTTATTTTTACATCATTTTGTACATTTTTTTCCATCTCAATTGTAATCCCCGTGGGTTTCCCATCACTAATTCACCCGTGTGCCATCACCATAATCCCATGCATTTCCCTCTGATACTCTTTTTAATGGACCCAACTGAAACTAATCAGTAAGCACTGAATTTTCAAGAGGCGCAGTGCAAAGACTCCATTTGAGTTGTGTAGTTTTTTCCCAATCTTTTATGTTTATCCTTTCTTTTTCATTTCTAATTTTTTTATCTGTCTACATGCATGTATGTGTGTATAAATACATATTATATACACACATGTATACAACTATACATTTGTATATAGGCAAATCATCTTTTATATTACATATGTTACATATATTATACATATTAGATTACAATTGTTGTTCTCTCTTTCTCCCCTGTCTCTCCTATCTGTCCTCTTCCCCTCCCCATTCCTCCAGGCCTACTGGGGACATAGAAAGTCACTATCATATCCTGTTTAAGCTCTGGGCTCTGGAGCTATAAAACAAAATCATGATGTGGCTCATAAAGCCTGATTGAATCAGGCCACAGGCTGGAAGAGTTACATGAAGAATGGTTCACTCTCCTTTAACCAAAGAACAATTATCCCATTTATGAGTCGTCGGGGCCATTCCCCTTCTAGTTACTATTGTCTGCCTTTGATCTGTAACCAGTCACTTATACCTCTCATTTTTGCTTCATGTTATCCCAAGAAGAGGCATGGTATAAGAAGGGCTGCAAACATCAGTGAGTTTGGGGAATATCTGCAAACCTTGTTTATGCTAGAAATTTCAGAATTCTGTCCAACGCCCCCATTTTCTGATATCCTGAAAAGTCTCTAGTCTAACACAAAGTTAGACCCTGAAGAAAATATATAGATTAAAAACAAGCACTTCAGGCCCTCCCTGGTGGTGCAGTGGGTTAAAGCACAGCACTAAGAAGCTAAAGCCACTTCCACATGAGTTCGATCCCCACCCCGGAGGTGACCCATATGGCATGGCAGCCCTCTCCCGACCAGCCCACTGCTCCCCTTAGCAGTGTACTTC